CTAAATGATTTAAAATTAGGAAAGGTGGGAATCAAGGTTGTATCCTTTCACCATACTTATTCAATCTGTATGCAATCTGTATGTTGAGCAAATAATCTGAAAAACTGGACTATATGATGAAGAATGTGGCATCAGAATTGGAGGAAGAATTATCAGCATCCTGCTGTATGCAGATGATACAACCTTACTTACTGAAAATGAAGAGGACTTAAAAGAATTACTGATGAAGATCAAAGACTACAGCCTTCAGTATGAATCACACCTCAATGTAAAGAAATCAAAAATCCTTACCACTGGACCAATAAATATCATGATGAATTGAGATTATATTGAAGTTGTCAAAAACTTCATTTTGCTTGGATGTACTATCAACACTCATGGAAACAGCAATCAAGAAATCAAACTGCATATTGCATTAGGAAAATCTACTGCAAAAGACCTCTTCAAAGCGTTCAAGAGCAAAGATACCAGTATGGGGAGTATGGTTCACTTGACCCAAGTCATAATACTTTCAATCACCTTATTTGCATGTGAAAGTTGAAAAACAAATATGGAAGATAATAGAAGAATTGATGCATTTGAATTATGGTGTTGGCAAAGAATATCAAATGGACTGCCAGAAAAACAAACAAATCTGTGTTGGAAGAAGTACAATTAGAATGCCCCTTAGAAACAAGGAAGGTAAGACTTCATCTCTCATCCTTTGGACATGTTAACAGGAGGGACCAGTCCCTGAAGAAGGACATGAAGCTTGGTAAAATGGAGTGTCAGTGAAAAAAAGGAAGGTCCCCATTGAGGTGGAATGACACACTGGCAGCACAAATGAGCTCAATCATAATAATCACTGTGAGGATTATGCAGGACTGGACAGTGTCTCGTTCTGTCGTACATAGAGTTGCTTTACATTGGAACCACTTGATAGCACCTAACAATAACAACAACAGTTTAAACTAGGTTTTAAAGGATGAAGGAATGAACCACTCAAACGAGTAGGAGTTTTCTATGTAGGAAGAAGAGTAGAATAAATAAAGAAGGAAGAAACTCTCAGTGTTCTCAACAGATTGTTTGGTACTACAGGTGGTTAATGCTATACTCATTTGTGTTTTTCACTTTCAGAGCCTGCCTCTACTCCTTTTGATATCTGGCTTTGGCCTCTACTATGCCCTGAATCCAATGGCATGGATTTCCTTTCTTGTCAAATCCAATGATACTTTCAACTTCACCTTTCTTGATTTTTAAGCAGCATTGTTGTTGCTGCAAAGTGCTGTTGAATTGGCTCTGATTCCTAATGACCCTGTCTAGGGTTTCCAAGGAGAAGCTGGTGACATTGTGCTTTGCAGTCCAATACTGGTGTGGTGCTGTGGGTTAATGCGCCAGACTGCAAAGCAGTTTGAACTGCAAGGTTGGCGGTTCAAGCTCACTGGCTGCTCTTCAGAAACCCTATACAGGGTCTCTATGAGTCAGAATCGATTCCACAGCACTTAACAACAACAACAACTGATGCTACAGTGCCACACCAGGAGTACTTGAGACATCTTAAAAATATCTTCCAATGGTTGTCTGGCCATCATGCTCTCCAGATTTTCCTTTCAATTTCTGGTAGTAGCTTCCTTTATTTTTGGCTGGCTCATCTTTTATCAAATTGAGAAATGATGGAGCTTTTTTAAGATTAGGTCAAAAACCTCTTCTCTTCTTACCCTATATTCTATCTTTGGAAATTCTCATCAATTCCTAAAATTCTAAATACCATCATGTGATAAACCCACTCTAAAATCACTGCCATCGAGTTGATTCCAACTCTTAGTGACCTAAAATCTAAGACTAAACTTTTAGAGGATATCCAAAGACCAATCTTTCTCCTGCAGAGTAACTTGTTTGTTGTTAAGTACTGTTATATAGGTTCCGACTCATAGCAATCCTGTATAGCGGGGGTAGGGAAACTTTTTTCTGCCAAAATTTATTCATGGTTCATTCAAAATTATCAACTTAAAAACTTGCCTGCTATATTTGGTCAAACATTAACTCACCTCCAATATGATGGCTGGACTC